GTGTGTGTGTGTGTGTGTGTGTGTGTGTGTGAGTTCCTCTAACCACTGCGTTATTAACACGCAATTCAACTTTCTAGGCTGAAAATGTGAATTGATGCCAAACCTCGTCGTCTATGCCCCAAAATTAAGTCAGTTATTGTCTCCTTGCTTCAACATCAAATCGCTATGTCGAACGCGAACTTGAGGCCTTCTGTAAGGAACTGAAGGAGTTCTACAGTGAAAGTTATACTTTATATAATGTTCTTATTTTGTGAACATCGACGCTAACATTAATTCTAGGAGAGCGTCACTCGAACTTAACTTAGGATCGATTGAACATGATGAAGCGAATAGAGTGAGTGGATGCTTATGTTTATTACCACGGTAACTCACAGTTCTAGAACCCCTCCTGTCAAAGACGTGTGAGTCTTTCAAAGAAGATTACCACAACAATATAGATAACAAGAAATAAGAAGTATCAAGAGGTAAATCGAAGTAAGTCGAATCAAAATGGAGACAGACCATCGCCTCCTTAGCACAAGATTCCTACTTTACTGATGAGAGAATGTAGCAAAATTGAAGAATGGGAATACCAAAAAGAAAAACAAACAATGATGATTTGATTTCTATTTAGAACTTAAGCCAACTTTCTGGGAAAACCATGTTATCAGAGTCATATTCAGGTTATATTTCACATAATACCCTGCCATTAAAAAAAGAGAAGAGAGTAAATAAAGAAGTGATGAGATTGTGATTTATACCATTTGTGCTCCCCAGATCAATCCCTTTGGACGCATCATTACTGATAGTAAATAGGTCAATAACATGGATGAGAGGAGAGCGAAACGAAGGACTCGCATGGTGTGGTGGTGAACTCGTTAGCCCCCGGAAAGGGTAATAGCGCGTTCGGTCCCACCGCAAACAGCAGCGGCCTGGAGTTTTGCAAATACCTCAGCATCGTTATGGTTATACTTCACATAATACCATGCCATTAAAAAAGAATAGGCAGTGAATAGAAAAGTGATGAAAATGTTATCAGAGTTACTTTTACTGGTATTCCAACGTGGATTTGCACGGCGTGTAAGAAGTGAGAAACTTATTTGCTAAATTGCAGATGTGTGAATAAAGCAGGTAAAAGAATGTCCCAAATAGAGCTGATAGATATGACGTCCAAACGATGCTCGCTTCTGATGCTCGACAGATCGGCAAAAAACCAGACCCAGAGATAACCAGAGCCGAACATTTGAAGAACCCAGCGCATCAACACACTCGTTTAGCTTCTCGCATGTTAGCTGTGAGAAAGTATGATTCTAAGCCAGCAAAAAACCGTGAAACCTTGTTGTTGAACAAAAAGAGAGACATTCACGACATCGTCAAATATCGCACCATCTGCCTGCTGTCAGTCGACCATAAACTCCACTCGTCCTAAAAGGATTAGAACACTGAACGAAAGACATCGACGTGGGGAAACGGCGTTCCGAAAAGATTCACTACGTTAGATCGCATCCACACGACAACAAGATTCATAAAAGGATCGCTTAATATAGGTTTTTCCTCTTGTATCAGAGAGTTTGTCTCAGTTAAACCGACTTATAAAATGCTCTTAACCTATTTGAGGCAGAAATGATCGCAGAATTTCTGGTCAACAAAGACACCCATGTTTAGTACAAAATGGTCCTTCGTAAACCATCAATTGCACGATCGCAGTTCTATAAATACGCTACCGGCTTAAGGAACTAAGATTATTTACAGCGACTCTAAAGTATAATATGTCATAAGACAAAAAATGTGATGACGTAGGCCGATGTAAGTAGCCAAGCATCTTCTCTTCACTGATAAGATCATTCTCATAACATCAAAGATTAAGGACAAGGAACAAATGCTAACCAATTTCAATAGCGCTTTGAGCAGTTCGACGGACACTCAGAATAAGATGATGATGAGAAAGAAATTCGCTTCTGATAGCTCATTATCTCTGGAAGAAACGAGAATTGTTAAATCTCCCAACTTTGCATATCTAGGTCGAGAAGTTAACATGGTGAACAACCTGGTTGCATAGCCGTCCACAACAAGCGAGCGGTTCATAGAGGATACGATCATCGAGGATATAATGAAAGAATAAAGGACACCCAACTACGAGGCTCATCTTTTAGATTTCGCAACTCTCTATACCTTACGTACGCGACAGAAACGTGCATGCTAGGTCACCTGAAGTATTCGAGTATATCGTGTATGTCATGCTGTGGAAGACATCATTGAGAGGGTTATGATACGAGTACCTTATATCATGGAAGTGGAAATGGGAAGTTTCTACCAAAGTTGGCGACCAGGGATCAGTAACACCACTACTCTACGTGTAGGTGTGTTGAAAATCAGGTAGGTGGGAAACCTGATCAATGGATGAAAGCTGTTAACGACCGGTTCTCATTGGATAGATATCAAACGAGCACATAGGAAACCACCGATCCGGCTTCTTCACTGAGATCCTAGAAGTGTGCTCATCTTCTAACTGCATTACTGTGCAAGACCCATTTGACAACACAAACAAATGGTCGTTTCACTGACGCGCGCTTGGTGACTTGATAACTAACGGGGAGAATATGCTATACAGTTGACAGTTGGTGATGATAATTTAGCCAATCATTTATCTTTCAAGTGCCAAAGGAAATACTTCACAGTCTTCGACAAGAATAGAAGAATTGGTGTGTCGATAGAGGCTAACTAGAGAAGACGCTTTGTTTCCCATAGTAAGAAGATCTATCTATGGCGCCTAGTTTTGACTTCGTTATACAGCTGGAAGGAAAAGAATTGAACTATAAACGTTGTCTGCTTGGATGTATGTTTTGTAGTGCCACACTTCTGGTAGTTATATCGCTTTGCCACATGTTATCTTCGCGCTTCCTCATTTCGAACATTAGAACTACCAAACATGAGTGATAGCGAAAATGTTTTTCAGACCGCCCTCAGTTCGTGAGATGACGCGAATAACTTCGAACTGCGACTAGCTGTGTGGTAAGTTAGGTTTTCCGGAAAAGAATTACGAAAGATTACGATATGTATCTGACCAGCTATAAATACTCTTTTCCTTGCGGTTACTTCATTTCTACTGACTTCTTCACTAACATGGCTCCGGGGTACTACGGCAACAGGTGGGTATTATTGCTTCTTCACCACCAAAGAATATGGGTGCGTCGTAAAATTGCGATAACTGCAGGCGTCGTTCACGTTCTCGTACTAGGAACCGCAACGCTTGGATGAGGATCCCGCAGTGGACTTCGTTGCCGGGCGCTCAAGGACTTCCAAACTCGGGCTCTGAACCAGGGAACAGTACATGTGAACTCTGCAATGCTCCTTCATTTGCCACTAGAATAGCTTTAAGAGGATCTCACGGAGCCGCAGTTTTCGGACCACAAAATCGACCCCGACCGCGGTCGAAGTCGGTAAACCGTGCCCGGTTCAGGAAACCGCTTCCACTTAAGGATTATAAGAAATCAATAAGGTTTCCATGGAATCCATCCAATGCACAGAAACAGCGGCCGAATGTCCCAACTCAAACTGACACGAAAGGATCCTCGTCTGAACCGGAGCCTGTGGACAGTCCGACACTGTCCCGAGTCTCATCGACGCTCTCATCGGACTCTGTTGCAGATCTCTTCCCATTCGACTCGGAAATTTTTGTAGACACCAGCCCAAATGACGTGAAAAAGGTAAACAAGAGTGTGAAAAAAGAAGATGGCAATGAAGAGAGGAATGGAGCGCATGGTGTGGTTGCTCTCAGAAATCCGAATACTGTTGCTATCTGCACACCGCCTGGAATGGTCACAGAACTGCCATCCAAGGGCACGGTCGATATTTCAGATGCTAGCAAATCGTTGAATGCGCGCATTCCACCAGTGCTTCACTCTGAACTGTCCGACACGATTAAAAAGCTGAGGGCTATGGCAGAATTAACAAAGGTTCGTGAAATCTCTTTTCGATGAAGAATGAGGTCCTCCTTTCATGGTAGACTGTCAGTGTGGAAGTGAACATGTTTTTTAAACGTCATGATATTAAAAAATTATCCCTTAGTGTTAAATGTAATCCAGAAATGATAATGATACCTAAGATAAAGTGAAAATTTTTGAACTAGTACTTTCTTAGTAACTTCCGTTCAGCATAAGGTATCCGCGTTCGTGGCATCTAAATGGGCTTTTAGTTTCTAAATGTCTCACTGCGCTACTTGAACACTTTTCTACTATTGCACTGGCTAACTATCTTTCTCATTCGTAAAAAATTTATGGTAAACAATGGTATGATACAGTGTCACTAATAAACCATGGTGCAAGTCCACCGACCGAGCTGACAGAGGAACTAATTCAAGCTTCAGTGGAACCTTTACACAATATAACTGATATGTGTCTTAGAGTTAAAGGAGGTTATTATGCGGTGACAATCTTGTACTATCATGTTTCAGAAATCTCCCGAAGATGCTTCAATGTTCAAGAGAACCGATTTGGATGCTAATGTCGTAGTAGCATCGGCCACAGGGGCGACAAGAGTGCTGAAACCGTTGCAACAGACTCATTCGGCGCGATCAGCCACTTCGGCCGTCTCCACTGTCACCTCAACTGGAATTGCATCAGTCAAGTCGTCACCATTCGCACCAAAATCGAGTTCTCCACATGTGACGAGTCCACCGTGGAGTGTTGGAAACGCATCTGAGTGCAGTCCTCTAGGTGGGCAGCCTTACATAGCTGGGATTTTCGTTATGTTGTAGTTTTATCCCGTATTACACGCCATGTAGTGTAAGGTTTCTAAAAAATAATTCAGTGAGCAAATCTTCATACAATGTGAGGTTTGTCCACACAGTTCCTCTATTGTTTTACAAAATGAATCCTGGTTTTTGTAGTTCACTATGAAGACAGTACTTTGCATGAGTAATTAGAAGAAAATCCGCTATGTCCAGCATATAAAATGGACGCAGGCTGCTGTACCTGACAGTTAGTAGTTAGGCGCAGTCTAGTGGGTACACAGAGTTTCTGATGGTCGACGTTAGTGGACTAAGCGGCTTTGTAAAGCAGCCGTCAGCTGTTGCTAGTCGCGAACTCAAAGTAAATACCATTTAATCTCACAGCAGAGCTTTCATGAGATCGAGAATATTCGCGAATAAGTGGTAGGTGGTGATAGTGATAGAATTCATGCGACTCATATTTCTAAAGCAATCTCAACGGCAATCAATGTGGATGTGGTCCACTATTTCACAATGAAACCTACTTAAGCTCCTTAAGCTGTGTCACTGTGCCCACTGGATATTCACCCAAATCACCTCTAACGATGAAGGATGAAATTCAATACGTTGCGCATCCATCAAGGACTGATCAACACCGAATTCCTTATCTTCACACCTGCTTTATTCTGATAATAGGAGAGATTTTCGGAAAGTTGTGAGTGTTCTGACATAACCCTGAAAGTTACTTCAGCTGTCGCTGCTCGTAATCTGAAGTTTTGCTGTCAACTGGCGCATGGTTCTCCCACAGCGATCATCTCCAACTTCACCTCCATAGACGAGTTGTTCCAGGTTCGTTTCGTATCGCTGTTCCTCGCATAAGTCAACTCCCAAAACTAGATGTTTCCAGTCAATCGCCGACTGCTTCAATATCTCAGCTGACGACATTATCTTTTGCACTGTTAACACTTTCAAAGTGAGTGATTTGCAGTACCGCAGTTCGTTTCTGATGCCTCAGTTTTTAGATTGATATGGACAAATTGTTTGCGGGTAGCTTGGGATACTCCGATATGTTATTTGCACATATAAAGGGACAAGCCATTGAAGTTGAACTCACTAAAACTGAAGGGTAAGGTTCTAATTTCGTTCAGGAATTAGACTGTTGCTTTCCCCACAGCTACCAAGACAGCGGTAACTTCTTACACAAATCTCTCATACAAGTCGCTAGCACTAGAGATGAGGATTTCATGGGCAGATATTCCCCAGTTCAAACCGGCAGATATCCATGAAGTGGTGGCAGGTTCGTTCCTATTTCTGCGGTTACTCTACAGCTACCTTATTACCCTTCGCCGAAGTTCGCCACATTGTTAGTAGAGAGGGCTGGAGTGGAACTGTACCGCAACTTGAGAGAAAACATTTTGACGAAGTTAATTATGAGCTGGAATAATGTATAATTTTTCGATGTGTCCCGAAGCATACATTGTAAGTAAGAGTGGTTCAGTGGTGATAGCTATACTTTCTGATTAGCGTGCCATGTTCAGTTTTCATGCAGTAGCTTATCAAAATTGAGCGTATAATGATGCGATAAGTATGAGCGAAGTTGATCATGTTGATCGGCAGAGACTTGAGCTTCCGAATGTTTTTCTACTGCATTCAGGTTGTTTGGACTTACGGTGAGTGATAATGGTCGATGCAGGTCGTTCATCAAACGATTGAAAGAGAACAGCATTGTCTGTGGGTTTCGTGGATTGTCGTAATTATGTTGTCCAACTCAGCCTCTCAAGACGTTTGCAGAAGAGGACTGCTTTCAGCTCGTGCGCAACCAGCCCTCGCTGTGGGGCAGTTGATTGAGTGTATCGACGGAGTCAATGTGACCGGCATGCGGCATTTCGAGGTGGTGCGAATCCTCAGAAATATGCCAATCGGTAAAACGTGAGTGTTGTAACCAATGAATGATTAAAACTGACTGGAGGGCATCATGGCCGGCTGTGTAAGCAGAAATGGGCAGTGATGATCATCTAAAACGCAGATATTGATTGTTTTTGCCAAGAAGTGGTGGACAAATATTCCATAGTAGGCACGTTTTGTTCTGCTTCAAATATCACATTGGATGTATTGAATATATGACATCTAATGCTGTTTATTTGACTATTCTGATTTTAAGTCGAATAGTAGAAGGAAGAGACACCGGTAAATCAAAATGGAACGAGCTTGTTCCTGAGTTCTGAGAGCGAAAAGTTTCATGGCGTTGAATATTTTTAGGGCACATGTTTGGATTCTATCCAAAATTTAAATGCCTCGTGCTAGTTAGATTCACTTAACTATGTGGAAATACCAACCACTGAAGAAGATAAAACACGACCCCGAAGAGCAGAACGAGTGAAAGCACATCTATTCAAATAACTCTGTGCGCAAAATTCTAAAGAACCTTTCTTGAACTAGACATACGGGCTTTCAACTCTCTGCGGTTTAGTTGTAAGAAGAATTTTTATGTTACATTAGCCTTAGAAGAAAGAATAAAGCTCTCGGCGTTGATCAATCCCTGAGGGATGCGCCATGCATTCGGTTTCATTAAGTATCGTTGGAGGTCACTGAATGCATATCTGGCGAATGACTCGCAGTAGCCTACCGCTGTATCGAGCCAGTGCTGCTATCTTCCCAAACAAGTTTGGTACCAATTTGCCGATCCCGGAGGGAAGAAAGACTTGGTGAGCCTGAGGCGCCGGATAGATCTCATGTGTATTGCAGGGCGCCTCTCACCACTGCGCTACAAGGGCTTTTATTATATTCACGTTATGCTCGAAAATGTGCCTCTTTAACAGTTTTGTTGCAATGTGCCTTGTATTCTAGCGTTTTCTACGCTTCAGTCTAGCACATCTTCAACAACTTTTCAGCAGGAAAGCTCTTTTTTGATACAATAACTGAATTCAAGCTGAGGCCTGATATACCCGTTTAATTTGTCGAAACAACATTGCTTTTTATCTAAATTCACACAATACCTATCATGAAAAGATAAATCGTGGCAAATAAAAGGTCATACATTGTGATTTCGACTGCAGATTCGGCCTATATAAGTTCAATTCCGATTTGTGCTTCCCAGATCATTCCCGTTGACGGGTAATGGCTGACGGCATCGTTTGAGTTAAAAACTGGCTAAGAGAAAAGCAAGGCGAGGGGCACTGTAATGCGCTGCGTTACAGGTGACCTCAGACAAGATGATCATGGGCTCGACTCTGGGTTGAGATCGAGATTTGCGAATATCTCTGCATCACTGTGGTTCTATTATAGATAGATCCAGATCCATCTACTTCACATAATACCCTGCCATAAGAAAATGATAGGAAGTAAACGAAAAGTTGCGCACTATTGCTTTTAATAATTCTGATCTCTGTGGTTTAGTTTCATTCTGCGAGTGGTATCTCCAAAGCAATCGGGCTTCCAACAGATTGCTTCCCGTTCAACAGCTTCACGTAAGAAGAACGTCAATGAGGGCATGCAGACGCTTCGATTCAAAGCGAGCGGAGGAGTGGTGATTGAGGAGGTCGGTCCGGATAACGATTGGGTAGACGGATGATATTCGGATGACGCTAGTTCAAATGAAACTCCTTTGTTTCTCTATCCAAGTCGTTAGATCCTGTACTTCTCGGTCTATTAAAAGAAGAGCAACCCGGTAACACGAGTAGGTTAGTACAAACGTCTTCAAGATAGCGAATATTTCAGGGTGCCGTTGATAAAGAGATGATTAGTCGCTTGAACGAAATCCTCGATTCCTATCTGGGTGTACAAGACGACGGGATGGCTCGGGCACTCTGGGAGTTGGCGCTTTCATGCGAGACCCTACCAGATATGAGCAAGGCTGTAAAAGAGGTTGGTTTAATACCAGAAAAGCACGCTTTGACCTTTAGAACATTTTTTGACATTTGACATCCTCAAAAAAAATTCGTATTTGGTCCATTTTTTTGTCAACCAAAGGTGTTTTCGGTCTTTCAGTATGCAGGTAGAGTTGCGTGAACCTGATTTGCACCATTAATTCAAAACCATTTGACGAAATTTTAAGACCAACTTTGTTGTGGATCAGGCCGAGTCTTCCACTGTGTTATTTTGCTTTAGTAAAGGATAAAGGATAAAGCTCTCGGCGTTGATCAATCCTTGAGGGATGCGCCATGCATACGACTTCATTAAGTATCGTTGTAGGTGATTAAATGCATATCTGGCCTTTACAATGACTTGCGATGGCCTACCGATGTATCGAGCCAGTGCTGCTATCCTCCCAGACAAATCTGGTACCAATTTGCCTATCCCGGAGGGATGGAAGGTTTGGTGGGCCATGGGCGCGGGGATCGGTTCCACGTGTGTGTCGCAGTGGCGCCTCCAACCACTGCGCCACACGCGCCTTTTGGCTTTAGTACTTTTGACATATCCATTCGGATCGGTCCTCACTCTAGTTTGTCCAGTTAGTGTCCAATCCGGTAATGTTTTACTTCTGATGTATAGTCTATTGTTTCTAAAATGCAGGACTGCTAGAATGGAGATCAGACCTAGTAAAATGAAAATAGAGTTTGCTGAGAGACGGGCGAAACTAGGGATCCGCATGGTGTGGTGGTGAACACGTTAGCCCCCGGAAAGGGTAATAGCGCTTTCGTTCCCCACCGCGGACACCTGTGGTCCGGAGTTTTGCAAATATCTCTTCATCATTGTGGTTGTAAAATAGAGTTGTTTTTGCAATGAAACTAGTTATTGCCATAGCATCAAACTGCCGAGAATTTTGAAAAACAAAGATTAGCCTTCTCCGTTCTACGTATTATTCCTCTCTGTTTTATACTACAACCCTAAGACCTCACCAATAGAAGCTCATTGTCAAGGTGATGAAAACTGCGCATAGTAAAATCGTGTCTTTCTATTTGATCTGATGGATTTCGTTGTTGTAAACTAAAAAATCGACAAGAACGAGCTAAAACCTCAAGAAAACTGTCTTCTGTTGGATAAACGTATTTCAGATAAGGTCTAGAGGATGGCTATTGTAAGTTAATATTGTATTATGCTCATGAGGCAAAGGGTAGTACTTCAAACCAGCCGCATACGGAAGCTGCGATGGAGTAGTCTTGAAGGGCCCGCTTTACTAAGCATCATACTTATAAATCGAAAATTCGTTCTTATTCCAAACATCAATAGCTCACAACACAATGTCACTGTTATTCAAATGATGCGCAAGCTGATAGTCAAGTCATTCGGTAACTATACGCTTGTATCCCATATTAGCCAGCAGAGTGTTTTAGATTACTTGACGGAATTTAAGTCACGTATCGTGAAATCTTTTCACAACAGGACTAATTTTCAGTCAGAACTTTCGGTATTCGACTTCCCTGAGGAGCTGGTTTTCGACATGTGGGGCGTCGTCGGCGATTCTCGAAGGACAGGTGACAACCAGGCGAAATCGAAGCCGAAGGAGAAGAAGAATCTGCTTCGACGCGATGAAGAGCTAGCGTCGACGCCTCTTTCTTCTTGAGGCGTCTTACTGACACCGACTAATAAAACTATTACCAAAAAAATCTTTCTTTTTGAAACGGTGTTTTCAAAAATATGAACGAGGTCCACAGATCCGTTCGTTTTCAGTTCGTACCGAAATTTTCCCTGCTACAAGAATCATTGCAATACTGGCACTGTGAATATATGATGAAAGACAAATGTCGAATTGCCTAAAACTACTTAGAAGACTGTTGAAGAAGTTGGAGTGCCTATCGAACCAAGTATCTCTTTCTTGTGTCTACAGGCATCACCTAGTTAGTAACTTGTGCGGTCACCAAGGCATGTGAAGCATCATAATACCTGTTCGAAATACATTGGAGAGAATGTCACTGGTGACTCTTTCTGGAATGATGGATTTAGACGTGGATAACTTACTGCGCTCTTCTGTAGCAGACATTCGGTTTCTTTGTTAGAATTGACCTCTAACCGCCTCCAAGGACAAAGTTATTAGTCACTGGTGCTCAGATTGTAGTTGTGGCGATTAGTACGTTATTTTCAAGAACACCAAAGCACATATGCATACATGCGATTTCATGCATACGTGTTATCAGGGTACAATGGAAGCAGAGAATGCATCCACTGAATCTGACAAACCGAATACGTAGTCGTTTTTGATCGGCATTTAATCCCTCCGGGATATCCGCAGAAGTGCTATTAAATCGCGCCGACGTACTTGAAATATCTGAGGAAAATTCGAGGAGAAAATTGCTTTGCCAACAAAACACATTGTTGGTTAAGATAAAGTTTGAATTATGAGAAATTGTTCGCGTACCAAAAGACATGCAAATAGTGGGTAAATATGCCATCTGTTATATTGGATTGCCATGAAAGCAGGAACTCTATTTTCCGAGTCCGATTAAATTTTGTGACAGTGCAATGTCGGATTATGTTCCATTTATTGTAAAGAATACTCTGTATTCCTGTTTTGCTGTGACTTAAACCGTAGAGCAGAAGTGAGGCAGCGGCTATAGAAAATGAGAAACCACTCACGCATTTTAAAATTTAATTCTTTTTTAAAAAGTGACTCTTCAGTCTCATCACGACTAATCAATATGTATCCTGTATGTTTATCAAGATATCTGTTCATTTTTTTCTATTTTGGATCACTCGTCATCACATCTACTGTGTCGATCCTGGCACTTCTTGCATTCAATTCGTTTTACTCTCATCCATCGTCCATGAAGGTCTTCGAGAATTCCGCATGTTATTTCGGCTGTTGGTTGAGGATTTCGTCTTCTCTATGAATGTTGTAGAGTGTTGACTGAGTCCATTCTGCTTACAATCTTGGGATAACCGAGCTGAGGCGTTCCTACATGGATTGGGCTAGAGCGTTGAGGTGGTGGAACCAGCACCTTGCTTCCTTATGGACTGAACAACTAACCACAGCGTGCCCCACATTTTCATAGTCTAGTGTACTTCATTTAACTCCATTCCTATGATTCTATGTGTTCTCTACACCATCAGTGAAAACCAAATGTAAAGTTGCGTACTAAGCCGTCGTTTTCTTGTTCACCAATCGCGAAGTTGTTATACTACAAAGGCGTTAAACTGCATTATTATTAAATCCTTCGGTGTAATAAACCGCATGTCAATATAACCTTCCAGGCTCTGAAGAAGGAGATTCTGCCGAAACGTCAGTTGTGTTGTATATGTTCTATGTGCATGGAAGTAAACGTCTGCTAAATAACCACCTCGCGATTACTGAAGAAGTAAACGAAACATAATCCGATGCCGAGGTTAATAGAAAGTCGGTCCTAAGTACTAATCTGTCAAAAACAATTCACCAATTCTGTCTTGAAAGGTGTAAGACCGAAAGTGTGCCGTTCGTGTGAGACGACGAGTGTAATCATCCAGACCAAAATATCAGTATGTAAGAGGTCTCCAAAAAAAGTGTGATAGTCAGGCATTCGTCTTTTTGATCCATTTTTGGACTTTCGCAACTTATCCGAAACATTTCGAGAGTCTTGCACGTTGATGTTTTTGATTCACGCGCCAAGACCAGTCCACCCACTTCGAACACGTTGCCGTTGTTTTTTGTGTCTCACACCTACTTGTCGGATCTAGATTACCTAGAGAGGTTTAGCTAGAGGAGAACGATGTTGAATTTTAAGTTCCTCTTCTGGATATTCTTTTAAGCGGGCCCAAAATGGTCTACCTATTTCGATAATTCGCTCATCATGCCCACAGTTTTAGGAAAAAGATCAGGTTTCCGTGCTACATAGGTGGTGGTCATACAAGCGGATTCGGACTAATTGATAACGTGAAGTGTTAGGTTATCAATAACTATCACAGATTTCTGTGCAACAATTTTAGACACTTTATAACAGCTTTACCTATTTTGTTGGATATGAAGGGACCACCTGAAAGTGACCTTATTTAGGTTTAAAACATTGCTTTAGGGCACGACTGTCTCTTAGATCTAGCTCAAGTTCTCGACGCTTCGTAGCCGTTGGAGATGACTATGTGTCGCACCAACTACAGTGATTCCTTCCTCTGTCTTTCTTTACACACGCTTGTAGCTGTTCCGTGTTTGCTTTTGACGGGTGATTTTTCATGTGTGAAGAATGACACGACAGGGAGTACACTAGCATTATTTCTGTTGCTTGATTTTCAATGCCGTTTTGTCATATAATTAGTTTTTGAAAGATTTATTCGAACGTTTGAGAAAGGAAACCAGTTCTTTCTAGGAATTCTGTTGGTAAGCTTCTATACTCTGATCGTTTTCTCAAGAAATCCGCGAATTTGTCCGCTGACGATTCGTCTCACGTCAACAGCATACGGCTTGTCTAATACGTCACAAAATGGAAATGGCTCTGAAGGTGGCGAAGTCGCCGAAATGTGAATCATCGAGCACCAAGTTACCTGCTGACAACCTCGTATTAGCTCAAAAAGCTAGAGTTCCTAAGGCAACATAGATTTATCATAAGCGCTGAATTCAATCTATAGCAACTCCCAAGTCCGACTTCCTACTAACCTCGGCACTGATTGAATAATTCTTTCTACTTCTGCTCAGCAAACACGAGGTGCTATTTTATTTCTTTATTTACGTACAAGCTGACGTTTCGGCTGATTTCGCCTTCAATCTATAGCTAGTCTTAACCCTTTTATCTACTGCCTTTTTCTTTTTAATAACAGGGTATGCTGCGAAATATAACTTATATATAATGCTGAGATATTTGAAAACTCCGGACCGCAGGTGTATGCGGTGTGTAACGAACCCGCGCTGTTGTCCTTACCGGAGAGCAGCGCACTTCACCACCACACCATCCGGGTCCTTCGTTTTGCCTGTCTCTCGGCTAGTTCTATCGATCTTTTTGCCATCAGCAATCACCCGTCAACGGGATTGATCTGGGGAGCCCAAATCGGCATTGAACCCAGTTAAGCTGAGACTTAGTTATAATCACAATCTCAACCCTTTCATCTACTGCCTTTTTCTTTTTAATGGCAGTTTTGCAAATATCTCAACGTTATATACGAGTCTATAGCTAGTCTTTCGAATTATTTCACCCGTGATTTTGTTCACAACTGTCCATCCATTTTATAGACTTCTCTCTTATACTTTGTCCAATCTTCTCTCCAATTTTCCTATTATTAGTCATGATCTGATCTGGCGCCAGAGATATTGCTATTTATGGACAGCAGATTTATTCATTCCATTAAATGATATATAAACGAGCTCTTAGGTGGACTTTTATCAGCCAGATCAATGAAAAAACGTTTATTTAGGACAGATTTATCCTCTCCTTTTCTACTGTTTCAAACGATTTTTTTCTAGATTCTCCCAGAGTGTGTAACACAGCCGATGTGGAGGAATTTGATGGAATGGTAACCGTAATGGATCGAAGTAATTGTCAATGATTATTTACTGTCCAGAGTGGTAATGCGATAACATGTTTGTTGTGAGGAGGTTGCTGACACCGTAGATGACTACGTGCTACACCTATCGTCCCGACGATCGTAGAGACTCGAGAGGACGTCAGCAATTATTCCATTTCGCCTTGCCGCGCGCAGACGTACCCCGATGGGTTCTCTTCGCTCTAAGGACTCCGTGAGAATAATATCTTTTTTTCAGGATTTTTCTGAAGGATTTTGATCGTAGAGTCGATGGTACACTCACTAATGGCTCTTGTCCATCCATTAGTGTTCAGACGCACCATGTATCCTACCCTGTAGTGGTGGCTGAGATGGATGCACCAGTATTATGGTAACCGCTGCGCCGCTCACTATTTTGTAGCAGTTCAATGGTGAAATACTCAGTTGAATATCAAATATTGTGGAGACTAATTTTGAGTGAAATGCTGGAATCCGGCTCTCTTGTATGAATGGAATGCCACACGGTGTTGAGTTGTTTATTTGAATCAGCTTTCTTTTACTCCTTCTTTGAAACCCTCATAGCGCAAATCTCAAACATGGGTAATTAAACTTTTACTTGTATCAAAGGAATTCAGAGGTCGATCAATGAGTATTTACATCTTACACTATTTATATGAGTTAGAAATATTCTATTGTTTGTATACGAAGCTTAAAGCTGCTATTTGTCCAAATAGGTAGAGAAGATTCCCTATTTGACCGAGAGCCCTCTGAATATACCCATCTGATACTAGACATTTTGGCGCGAACAGCGGCATCTCCGATTATTGATCGCTGACACAGATTGGAAACACGGATTCTCTCCCTCTTGCTTGATGCGGAATGTCATTTTCCTCGACTGTCCAGGGCTTGCATGATTGCTTCTGTCTCAATTGAGTCGAAAACTTCCTTATCGATGAAAGTGGAAAGGAGCGCTCTGTTCTACTCTCGCCTTGCCCCAATCTTTTATTGTGTGCATATAGTCCACCAGACTGAATCTTTTTCAAACTCTTGTTGTTCACATCGCAGTCCATTGTCCATCTTCAGGTGTTCCGATTTTATCTTTTCCGGACCTTGTGTTTCGCAATTCATGCACCACCTTCATTCACCGTCGCAATAGGATGCCGGATT